TGCAAGGAGCGTGATATATAACATCTAAGGATAAAAAAAAAAAAAAAAAAAAGAACACCACCAGTTTTAAAAAGCTGATTTACAGATGCAAAGTACACCTTGGTGTGATTCAGGAAACAAGAGGACTGTTCTTATTTCTCTTCCATTGTGCTCAGAAGAATTCCACTCAGTTTATAGCCTTTATTTCTTAATATGATAGTCCCTTCACAAGTAGTCAACAAATACCCACTTTGCGAATAAAATTCCCATAGGATTGTAGTTCTTGTAGAACTACAGGGTTACCAAGCCCACCCCAGCTCCAGATGCAGAGCCCAGCATTCCCTCTACCCTGAAATTCACTTATGCATAGCTTGGAGACAAAATATGTGTGATGTCTCCCTCTAAGTGTGGCCCAAGTCCAGAAAAGTGTCTGACTTCGGTTATTGGTTACTCTGTTGGCTCAAATAAAAGTAACCTGTGCTGCAGCTTTGAAGATCCTACCGTCAAGCTCTGCTGGTTGAATAAGTGAGAAAAACAGTATGTGACAGTAACAGAATGGCTTCAAAGGAAGCTTTAATTCTTGCACTGCCAAACTTTTCAGAGCTCGACTGTACAACTTTCTTTTAGTGAAACTTTTAGACAGAATTCCCAAACTTATAACTTTACAAGGTATTCATGCAAGGAGAAAGACTTGTCTTTTTATCTTTGACAAATAAGATCCAGTGCATGACACTATTTTTCTGTAAAATGATGACAAAATGAGCATCTATTCAAGTAACTTGTAGACCCTGGAAGAACAGTAAGACCATTTATCACCTCTTGTACTGATCAGTTATTTAAAACTGAACAACATTTATGATATGAAACAAGAGGTAAAGAGGTGTTTGGGTTTGCTGCTGATAAATATTTTACCACTGGTTTTCATCCTCGTTATTAAAACCTAGCCTTTTCAGCACAGGAGATCCCATTTTACGGCATTGTTTCACAAAAACAAAGAAACAAACAAGGAGAGTGTTGACAGAGCTTTACTCAGGACCCTTACTTTTCAAATTAAAAAAAAAGTAGCCTTGTCTGGGACATGTTCAGCTTTCCATACATGTGTCTATCACAGATTCATCACCACACTCTGGCCTATTTGGTAGAGCTGGAGGAGATGTCAGAATGGAGGAGTTACATAGATTAAACTGGTCTGGATCCAGCCAGACTAAATTCCAAATCCTTCTGCCTGTCCTTATTATTGGCTGCCTTTAGGTCTTATCTCTGAAGAGAAAGTCAGAACTATCACCCACTAGCAGTAACGGGCAGTTCCTAAGTGAGGGTACTCACTCCTCCCTCCTGCTCAACTTGCAAAGAAATGCTCAAGATTCATTAGGCCAGAGAGGGGAAAAAGATGGAGCTGCTGATGCTGCTCCTATACGTTTTAAGTAATTTATAAAAAGTAAAAAAATACCTGCTGATATTACATCCAAAAATTTCTATTCTTCAGAATACAGACATCACAACAACTACAGCCACCTTACTGATCCAAGTCAGTGCAACTGAACACAAAATTTGTCCTACCCAAACTGTTTTGCAGGGGTGGGGCAGCCTTGAGGCTGTTGGATAGCTTGGTTAGCCTCACTCTGTCTTCACAGTCAAGATAAAACCACATCAAAATTTAGATGAAACTTCATTGAAGCTTTGCTAATGAGCAGTTGTGTATCACTGCAAGGTAATCTGCATTCCTGTGTTCACATTAAAACAAGTTCTTAAATTAAGCTACTCCTAGATTAACAATACCTTAAAATAAGGTATTTGCTGCTTAATTTTTATGGAATACTCTTTTTTTTCCCCGTGTTCTAGATATGTTACCTTTTGCATTGTCTTTACCTTGTACCATGAAAGATCAACACCTGAGTTACACCAAGTTGGGAGGGAGTGTCGACCTGCCGGAAGGCAGGAGGGCTCTGCAGAGGGATCTGGATAGACTGGAGAGATGGGCTGACTCCAATGGGATGAAGTTCAACAAGGCCAAGTGCCGGGTCCTGCACTTTGGCCACAACAACCCCCTGCAGTGCTACAAGCTGGGCACAGAGTGGCTGGAGAGCAGCCAGGCAGAAAGGGACCTGGGGGTGCTGATCGACAGGAGGCTGAACATGAGCCAGCAGTGTGCCCAGGTGGCCAAGAAGGCCAATGGCATCCTGGCCTGTATCAAGAACAGTGTGGCCAGCAGGAGCAGGGAATGATCCTTCCCCTGTACTCTGCACTGGTGAGGCCACACCTTGAGTATTGTGTTCAGCTCTGGGCCCCTCAGTTCAGGAAGGATATTGAGGTGCTGGAGCGGGTCCAGAGAAGAGCAACGAGGCTGGTGAAGGGACTTGAGCACAAGTCCTATGAGGAGAGGCTGAGGGAGCTGGGGTTGTTTAGTCTGGAGAAGAGAAGGCTTAGAGGTGACCTCATCACTCTCTTCAACTACCTGAAGGGAGGTTATAGCCAGGTGGGGGTTGGTCTCTTCTCCCAGGCAACCAACAATAGGACAAGAGGACATG